TAATCCATTGTGCTTCAGTAGTTAGCCACGGTTTCCATGTCAATTGATTATTTTGGTTCAATTCGCGTAGTTTTCGTTCCGCATCTATCCAAAGGGCTCGAAAGTTCTCCAAAAGATCATTCCTTTTGCTGAGGTCTGATTCTGTGATCATCATGAGTTTGAGTTCTTTCCATGTTGCATGCATGTTTACAGTTATGATCTGCACTATTGAGGCATTGGCCCCCATGAACCCAAACGTATGTTTCTTGAATTCGTGCGCGCATCTCATACGCCAAGTTGCCATGAGCATTGGCAACCGGAAGATATTGAAGAGATTGGTCATAAAGGGAGACCATTGGTGTGCACTTGGTGAGATCTCCCCCAACAAGATTGTCTTTAGGTCCCACGGGATATGTGTGTCTGCTATGTTTCATTTTCTACATATTCTCTGCATGTTTCTCATAAGCCTTAGGAACGCTGCACGAATAGATTGGAGCTTTGCGTTTTTAAAAAGGAAACAAAAAAGAGAAGAAAAAAAAGGAAAAAGAAAGAAAGAGGGAAATTCCAAGAGAATCTGACCCCTATCCAGTTCCCAAAAAGAATGTTTTTTGCTGCTTGTTTTTCTTTTTCCCTTTTTCGTGTCCATCTAGTGGACGTGGTTTGCCCGTGGTTGCTGATCCCAAAAAAAAGTCGGTGCCATCCATGTAAAAACTCCTCCGATACCGGGACAGTGGAGTCACATTTTTCTTTCACAAACTGCCCGGTGTGGCCCCTTTCTCATGTCTTTTACGAATTCTTGAAATGGAGGTAGTGTCGGATCAGGCCCTTACTCTCGACCCCTCCACTCTTGACCCTTCCACTCTCGAAAATTGATCGAGAGTGCACGGAGAGTGCCCATCGAAAGTTGATCCCGGGGGCCGTGTGGCCATTGCATTGGGGGCTCCAGGTGGTTATGTCCATACAACAAGAGAGGTTGTTGGGTCATAGATAGCTGTGGCAGTAACCCCGTGTGTCCGGAGTCCGGCTTCTATGACAATCTGGGCTTTTTAGTTAAAAAAAAGGGAAAAAAATAGAATCTCTTTCACTCAACACCTGATGACAGACATGACGTATGCCTTGGCAACAGTTAGAGCTGCATTACGGTCGTGGCTGGCACAGAAAGGAGTCATCCTCTTTGGTCATGACTCATGCGCTGGTTTTCGGTTATTGCCTCATCATGGTATCAAAGGACGGTTTTTCAGGCAGAGCGGCAGGCATTCCAAATCATCAGAAATCTGCTCACACACTACCTTTGGAAAGAAAAGACATTCGTTGCCAACTTCCTTCCAAAGGTTATGTGGGTCGTAATTACTCAGCCCAAGCGCGAAGGGGGTCTGACTTTGCTAGACCCCGTTTATCAGATAAAAGCCCTATTGGAAAAATCAGTCTGGGACCCGTGGGCTATACTTGAAGGCCTGGTCTCACCATGGAGTCAGTTGCGGCTGAGCTTACACTGTTGTCGGGATGGAATTTGCGGGCTGTGCGTTACCTTTGGATTGCTGTTTTGAACCCACTCTATCTCCGGAAGAACTGCCAGATGGTGTGTGGTCTGGGATTGTGAAACATGGAAACTGTGTTGCCTAGTTCTGGCCCAGCCGACCATGACAGCAGAGTACATTCTTACTCATGACAATCCCTTTTTGATAACCCTGCCATTGTAACGTCAGGCATGATCCCTTTTCCCTTTTTCGAGGTGAGGGATTTTGGTAATGCATGGATGTCTTGAGGCCTTTGGATGGTAGCAGACAATATGGGACATTGAGCAATGTGACTGGAGACCCTTTCATTCCTAGTAAACGTGACTCGTGGGGTTGTCCCACCAACAACAACATCTGTTCGCACCACCCGAGGCCGTTCCTCTTTCGCCGGCCACTTCCGCCGCCCAACCCAGATTGGAGCATCATTCTCTCTCCGCTACAGTGCGCTCAAGTACAACGATGACCCTATGTTCGAGCTTGACGCTACCCTTAGGGCAGCCCCTGAGGACTTGTGGACGTCATCTGCTACTATTTGGATGAAGAGACAGCCACCCCTGGTGATTGCTTGCGAATGGCCCTATTCGCTATGGGTCGTGCTCACAACCGGTCCGCAGAACTCGGTGCCCTCAAGTTCGTTTTTCCTTAGGTGGACCTCCCGCAGGGTTTTGTCCCTCCCCATGGAGCTCTGACACCTGACGAGCGTGCCGCCATCGAGGCCCTTTGAGGTTGTATCCGTTCTCGCCAGGATGATCATACCTCCTCGCAGTGTTCATATCATGCCACCCACGATCGGTTCTATGCCGACATTTTTCGTCAGCGTCGATTGCAGTCCCCCCCCGGCCCTGCCTGACCAGTCTCATCCAGCTAGCCACGGTGCAGTGTACCACTAAGGCCCCACAAGTAGCCGATTTCCCGACCACCGAGTCGCGGTTCGCCCCTTTGGCTGAATCCTCAGAACACGACAGACGAAATTCTCTCTGCCCCGTCGTCTGTCGCGGTACCGTTTGCCCCATAGGAGACCGCCTCATCTAGTCCTTCCTCTCCAAAACTTCCGACGCGTCGTGCCATTCGCACAACTCGTTGTAGCGCCTAACTGGCGGTTTGCGATGACATTGTGTTCTCTCTCCTGGATTTGAGCATTCTTCAGGCTCGCCAGGAGCGATTCATGAGACATATAAACATCATGCGTCGTCTTCTCACTCTGCTCTTTGACCCTGATCGCACCCTCCTCAACATTCTTATTCGTCTTGGGACATCTATGAGGGTGTACCTCGCTTTATGGATTCCGGTTCGCAGGGGGATTTCGTTCACCCTTGCGTGGCTGAGGAAGCTCGTCTAGCTACCTCCAGGTCTCACTCCCCTATCTCCGTTACCCTTGAAGATCATAAGACGTGACACTTTTTCGATCAGACGGTGTCTGACCTCCACTTTTTCCTCACCCTCCAGTTATCAAATAATACCCAGGTGCCTCGACGCTACCATTCCTTCACATACTGCGATGTATTGGAGATTGGGTACGACTTTATCCTTGTCACTCCTTTGTCTCGTACGTTTCGTAACAAAGAGACCGAATGGGCGACCAAGACACTCGTTGTCAAAACAAAGTGTGGTCAGACCTATCGCGTCTCATTCCTTGGCACCACGACCGACACCCTTCCCTCCCTCTCTCCCCAAGATCCTCGCCCCTCTGGGTCCCACCCAAACATCGCCTTCACTTTTTCTTGCCAATTTGCTCACTTCATATGTCAGGAGGAAATCACCTTCTACTCTGTGAACGTCATAGATCTTCTTCATTATGATCCACTCTGTCCAGAGGTTGAACTCATATTTTTGGAGCCCGATCCCCCTAACCCGTCCTCCATCTTCGCGACTCTCATCTCTCAATTTACCCCTCAGCCTGCGGATACCCCTTCGACATCCCATGTTCCTCCGTTATCCACAAAAACTTCTCGTGCTGATGCAAACACTGAGGAACTTGTGCGGTTCACGACCGATATAGAACCCGTCATTCATGACCTGATTCGATAGAACTGCGACGTATGTCCCCCGTATTTCTCATACATTGGTATCTCTCCGATACGCGGTGTTGAACATTCTATCTTGCTCGTGCCTGACTATCATGTCCACCATCAGGCACCCTGCCGACTCTCAATTCCAAAGGCGATGGAACTCAAGCGTTAGCTTGAGGAACTCCTTCGACAAAGTTTCATTAAACCTAGTAACTCCCTCTTTGATGCACCCGTTTTTTTTGCTCGCAAAGTGGATGAAACCCTCCACCTCTACATCGATTATCGTGGCCTTAACCATTAGTACATGGTTAATAACAGTTATCCTGTGCCTTGAGCGAATGAGTTGTTTGACCATCTGACACACAACCTCTTCTTCACGAAGATCGATCTTCGTAGCGATTAACACCAGATCCGTGTTGCCGCAGAGGACCAGCCGAAGACCGTCTTCTGGTCACGCTTCGGTCACTACGAGTTCACGGTGATGTTGTTCGGCCTTACCATACACCCATCACCTTCCACACGACGATGGACAATATCTTCAGGATCATCCTTGAAGAATACGTTCTCGTATTCCTGGATGACATTTTGGTTTATGGTCGTACCTTAGAAGACCAACTCAGACACCTCTGCGATGTCCTACAACACTTACGCAAGCATGACTTCTATGCCAAACTCAGTAAGGGACACTTTAACCAACGCAAAGTGAACTTTTTAAGACACCATGTATCTGACCAGGGTCTGCACAATGACCACACAGAGATCATTGTTATCGAGGAGTGACCCGTTCCCACATCCGTCAGACAACTTCGTAGTTTTCTAGGCTTTACTAGTTGCTACAGTAATTTAATCTGAGCATACACTCGGTATTCCTACGTCCTTACCTCCACCCCCCTCCGGAAGAACCTGCCATGATTTTGGATACCTCTCTGCGAGGATGTTTTTCGCGCCCTTAAGAAGGCGTTGACTTGTGCGCCGGTTCTTCGCTTCCCCGATTTTGATCCCTTCATAGTCACCACCAATGCATCAAATTTTCCAGGAAGAGTTGTACTTTCTCAAATGTTTCTCATTCCTCTTGACTCCCTTTATCCTCATATTTCCTACTTCCTCCTCTTCCTGCTAACACTGCTTCTCGACGGACGCCTATCCTTCCAGCACTTTCCTCAACTGACACTCCTCCCGTTACTACTCCCTGACCATCGTGGAGGATGTGACTGTCGAGGCTCATGCTCAGAATTGCATGATCGCCTTCTACTCCCGTCAGCTACTGCCTGACGAGATAAACTACATTGTCGATGAACGTGAGGTTCTCGCAGTAGTTTATGTTATCCGACACTGGCGTCATTATCTGCACAAAGCGCTATTCACGGTGCGCACGGACAACTCAGTTGTCCAGGCTTTCTTCATGAAGCCCACACTTTCTCCTCGACAGGCACGCTGATGGCGTGATTTATCCGAGTTCGGTTTCACCACTCAGCCTATCAAGGGTGAAACGAACCGCATCGCTCATGCCTTGGCCCGCCATCCTGACCACAATCAGGAACCCATTCACCTTGCTGCCATCTCGGTCACCCATCGTTTATCAGCTGGTGATCGATGCATATGGCACTCGGTACCGCCACTGTCTGGATTATCACGACATCCACGCGATACTGCGAAGTGGCAAGATCGTTCCTTCATACTCCCTCAGTGAGAACGGTCTTCTGTACTGGCGTGGTAGATCTGGTCAACTAGAACCACGTAAATGTGTTTTCTTCACTAGACAGCTCCGCATCCAGGCTGAAGCACAGTTCCATCACCAGGCACCTGTCGGTCATATGGACTTCCACAAAACGTTGGTCCGTATTTGCCGCCTATACATCTGGTCGAAGTCGAAGGACTTTGCCAAAGCCTATGTCCAGGAGTGTCCTGCCCGCCATGAGGTGAACAGTACAAAGCACCTTTTGCATGAGTTACTTCAACCTCTACCCATGCCTGAGGGTTGTTGGATTTCTATCTCGAATAATTTTGTTGGCCCCCTCCGCCTTCCTACTGAGCGCAGTTATGATGCTATCTTGGTCGCCGTCAATCGCTTTACGAAGCGTGCACGTTTTGTCCCGTGCCGCTATCGCAATAACACTCGTGAGATCGCTGACGTCTTCGCTTGAGTCGTGAGAGATCATTACTTACCTCAGAGCATCATCTTCAATCCTGACCCGCGCTTTACGAGCACATTTTGGCGACGCCTACATGAGGTGTACGGACCCAAGCCCCGCTTCTCGTCGTCTTACCACCCTCAGACGAATGATCAGACGGAGGTCACCAATAAAACTATCGGTTATATCCTCTGAAAGTTTATTAGGGATTACCAGCAGTAAGACTTACACTTAGCCCATGCGGAGATTGTGTACAACCATGTCGTTTCGCCAGACACGGAGATGTCGCTATTCTATTGCGACATCGGCTACTATCACGCACTACCACAGACTCAATACTGACAATAGACAGAACCCTCTAACAGCATTGACACACGTACTACAGATCATATAGATCATACAGAAGACAGTGTTACAAACACACAAACACACAAGCACACAAACACACAACTACATAAAAACACAAATACACAATNCACAAACACACAAGCACACAAACACACAACTACATAAAAACACAAATACACAATAATGACACAATAATGTTAATAATGTTAATAATGATAATAATGATAGTACAATGATACCTTAATGAGATACGTGGTTGAGCATGCTAGGATGAGCCGTAGATGGTGACAAACATCATGGGTTTTGGGAGGGTGGGAACAAGGGGTGGCGGAAACCACCCCACATCAGTTTCATACTTACACAATTCACTCACATGGTCACTGCACTGCACAAGACATTATGGGTTTTCGGGAGGGGGGGGACAGAGGGTGGTGAAGCCACCTCACATCTGCTCCACAGTTAGGACAGTCTCTAGGGTTTAGGGGTTTACCTTCACTGTTTCTGCTACAATCACAAGTCCATTCATACAAACAATCACAATGTTCAGCGACGTTGGACCCGCTTTCCAGCAGGTGCTGCTCCCCACCAATAGATGGAGACTCCCGATAGTGCTAGTGATGTCGGCTTGTACCAACATCCCTAGCATCTATTCGGGTTATTTTACCACAAAAAAAAAAAAAAAAAAAAAAAAAAAAAAAAAAAAGACAAAATAAAATGGGGACACCCCAGATACTGAAAACCGGGTCCAGCGTCCCATCACCACCAAACCTACCTCCTTATTCCTGAAGGCCCAGTGCTGGGGGCTAGCCGGGACCACTGGGGGGCACCAGTGAGCTCTCCCGTCCCCCTGCTCGCCTTCCATCATGTATAACTGCCGGAAACCGGGTCCGGCGTCCCCTATACCTTGGTTATCCCGTAACTGCACCTTGTTGTATCCATCAGTCTAGCATTTTGTCGAGCATTCGGTGGATGAAATGGAATACCTGATGAGATATGTTCTTTCGGCGCCGATCTCTCCCGGATCGCCACTGCGTCAATGTATCCCAGACAGCCACCACGTTTCGCCTCCTTCCACCGCTGGTGGCGGCCCTCACTCATGCAGAAAGAGGTGGGATCAGCCCAAACACAGGTTTTCACTTACTGGCAGTAGTGTCGGATCAGGCCCTAAGGCCCCTAAGGGCCTCACTGCACCACCGTCAAATTGGGCAACTTTTCGACACCTGTCAGGCAATTGTCGGAAGTTCCCGATTCCACGGTGTGGCCCGCCTTCGCTACACAGCACCGTTGAATAGGGATGGTGTGTCCCCGGACTTGAGGGTAATATCCTAAGAGTATGGTCCTCCAATCCCAAGGCCATGCCGCACCGGGAACAATATGTCGCCAAATCCTATCCCAGCTTCTCCATAATAACATTGACGCAGGACATTGGAGAAAGATGTGCTCAATAGTCTCCGCTCGCCTCACAAGGAAGCCTTGGAGACATTTGTGGCACCATGGCAACGCTTTCCCTTGTTGTTCCAAACGAGTGTGGTCTATCAGCCAGTCATTGGTTGGTAGACATCTGTGTTCTATTTGCCATTGGAGGGCCGAAATTTTGGCGGGTCTGCAACTATAGTGAGCAAACCAGCGGATGGGTTTAAGCAAGCTGCGGTCTATGTTAAAATATGTTCAAATTGGGTAGGCGGAGCATCCTATGGACCATATGGTGGAAACGATGTATCCTTGAGATAGAGGGGGCGCGGGTAGAGGACGGAGAAGCTATGGAACAAGTACGGACATTGGTCCAACATGAAATTGCAACCCAATGGAAAGCAGTTAAAGACAAGTTTGATCTGTCATATACCTGGGGGGACATAAACATAATTATCTCCTGTTTCAGCAAAGACTGGCTGGGAGGGGAAAGGGAGGGATGGGTGGCTGAGGTAAAATGGTCAGGGACTTGTCGGTCTGAAGAGGAACCACAGGAGGAACCCCGGGAGGAAATGGTAAGAGATTATCAGTTGACCTTTCATGACTGGACCAAGGTGGACCCCGGCGACCCACTACGACCAGCCCAGGACTTCGCAGACCCCTTCCCCCCCCACCGGTTGTCCTTGGTAGAAGCACTGTCATTGTCATGAGCTCAGCAGACTCAGCAGACTCTACGCTGTCTGCTTTCTCTACCTCCTTGGCTCTCTCTGCTATCTGTTGTTTCCTGCTGTTTTTTTACTGCTGCTTCTGATACTACTCCTTCTCTAATCTCTTGGCTCTCTCTAACTCCTGCTGTTCTTCTGCTGTTCTGCTGTTCTTCTGCTGTTTTCTGCTGTTCTTCCGTATTCATAATACTCGGAGTCATGTTCAACAGAGGTTCAGCAGTTGTCTCTTTTCTTGCTGACCACTTTTGCCCTGCAGGCAGTTGCAGGTAGTTGAATTGGCTGGTGGACGCTGGACCCGGTTCCCAGCAATGGCGTCGCGTTTTTATGATGTACGGTATGTCAATATGCTATCTAAGGGCCGCTGTTCCAGCAGGTGACGCTCCCCGCCAATAGACGGAGAGGAGCGTCTGGGGGTCGGGGCGCTTTTTTTCTTGGGACGCTGAGCCCGATTCTCAGCATAAAATCTCTCAGTATATGTTCAGCATATTGACACAATTGGCGCCCTGAGGTTAGTCGGTGGACGGCAGGGGTTAGGGGATGGAGGGTGACTCCACTGGTGCCACCCAGTGTTCCCCTCCAATACCCGACCCTGCTGCAGGTTAGATGTGGAAGAGTAGAATTGGATATGGGACCCTGGACCCGGTTTCCAGCACAAGGGCGTCACTTTCAATAATGCACTATGTTGTAAAGATGTATCTAAGGGAGGCTGGACCCGGTTTCCAGCAGGTGATGCCCCCCACCAAAAGATGGAGCGGCCCGCCAGGAAAAAAAAAAAAAAAAAAAAAAAAAAAAAAAGAATAGGGATGGTGTCGAGCTCAGAGTCTCTGTTCGGATGGCCTCGGTACAAAACAGTGAACTTGTCACCTTGGCCTCACTGACAGCGGTCGAAAGTCACTTGCTCTTCATCAACGCCCTCCGGACCTGTTGAGTTTTGGGCGGCTGCAGGCGGGCGTTCGAGAGTTGGGAACAGGAGCTGTTGAAAGGCCTTTTCTGACAAGAGTAGCACGCGACACTGTCGAAAATCGGGTTTTCGACAGTGGTATTTTCGACAGTGGTGTGGCGAGGCCCTAAGTTGAGAGTGGAGGGGTCGAGAGTAACGGGCTCACCACACCACTGTCGAATCGCTGAATCTCAACAGTTTGTGATAGCCACATAAACTTCCGAGAGGCAGACCAAGGAGTCAAGGACCTCCATTTACCATGTGTCAGAATGAGTCGTTCAACATCTCTGTCGAAACAATCCTCTCCCGCCCGCCTGCAGCAACCACAGTTTCGAAAGTTCTTCCCTGAGCTTGTAAAAAAAAAGGCGAAACAGCACATTGGGAATCACTGTGGACTGAAGACACAATTTGTCACACATTAAAGACAGGCACGTCAACTCGAAAATCAGCTGTGTGGCGAGGGGGGGGCAACTGTCGAAACGGGGACTGTCGAAGAAAATCTGACAGCTGTTGAAAAATCCCCGTTTCGACTGTGTGTGGCGAGACCTAGGAGGCTCGCCACACAGTCTCAGACTGTCGAAAACCAGGTTTTCAAACTTTCGACAGGTGTCAGAATCATTATGGTTCTTTCGACAACCGCCCTCCAGCAATCGTTTCCACCAGCCTGCAGGTGACGGAAATTCGACAGTGGCCAGCCGACCTTTCGAAAATTGCGTTCGATTTTGCGTTGTCCAGGGACTGTGCCGTCAACTTCCGTGAAACCCGTCCGCCTGGCCATGACCAAAAACCTTGCCCCTCGACCGCCTGTGTGGCGAAGGGGGGGGGGAATCGTCGACCGCCCGACTGTCGAACATTTTCTGACACCTGTCGAAAATTTTCGACATTCGACAGCCTGTGTGGCGAGCTTCTAAGGGCCTCTCCACACCGCAATCGAAAAGAAAAACGAACTAAGGCATCTTCCCAAAGAGAAGGGCAAGATGCTTCCGTTACTATGAACAGCAACAGATGCATCTTCCTGACGAGAAGGGCAAGATGCATCCGTTACAGCAACGGATGCATGTTACCACTTTCTGCAAACGGATGCATGTTACCACTTTCTGCCGATTCAGTCTCTTTTGGTTGGCGAGGCCCTTAGTGGAGCTACACTCGTTAGGCTACCTGTTGTTCAAAAAAAAAAAAAAAAAGTGGAGCTACCCTCCGCTCCCCGTAGAATAGTGGTGCGAGGCCATTTGTCGAAAGGATACAAATATAGATGGCTGTCAGAATAAATTTGACAGCCTCCTTTCGGCAGTTTGCCCCCCTTTCGCCGCTTTCGGCACACAGCACTGTAGAATGGAAGAACTTGTGAATGCAAGATGGAAAAAGACGAATGCGGTCGAAAGTCACTTTGAATGGAAAAGTGGTTTGCCCCCTGACGCAGGCTGACAGTACGACAAGCATTAGGCAAGGATCCCACAGCTTTGCGGATGGAAAAGTGGTTTGCCCATGAAAAGAGGGCAAGTCATTTTGGAAAGTCGGACAGTACTTTTTCCGGGACCCATCGCAGAGGGCCAAATGCGCTTGGAAAACCCTTTGGAAATCACTTGAGCCAATCGTTGCCTGTTTCCGTTGGCACTCTTCTGTTTTATTCTTTTTTCCTTTTTTTTTTTTTTTTTTTTTTTTGTGGCGCTCTTCATCTCTATTGGCTGCTGCCTTTTCTGAGACTTTTCCAGAAACAACATGCCCTCCCCCCTACCCTCTACAGTCGGCACAAAATTGCGGCGAGGAATCCTCCCGCGAGACTTTTCCAGGCCGCAGACTATGTGAAAACACAAATTGATGTTTTTCCAAGCCGCAATCTTCGGTCTGTGGGGTCCTGGAATAGGGTTTGCGGAAGAAATTTCACCTTTTCCAGGACATTTGCGGCAGGCTGTGGGGTCCTGGAAACAGCTTTGCGGCAAAGTTTTTCCTTTCCGCGGTCCTGTGGGCAGTGTGGGGTCCTTGCCTTAGTCCATCCCGACCTCATGCCCACTCACCAAATTTCGATGCAAAGTCGATGGCGCAGCTGAGGACTGTTGAAAGCATCGGAGTAGCAGTCTGGGTGGGGATTCAATCAACAACTTCCGAAAGGGGGTGTCGGGAAGCATTCTCTCTCTGACCCCCTGTCTCCAATTTCGACAGGCTGTGTGGCCAAGAGAAAGGGCCTTGCCACATGGCAGCCAAAAAGAAACGAATCGAAACAAGTTTTTTTTTTTTTTTTTTTTTTTCGCGAGGGTTCGTGAGGGCCCAAGCTCATGTTTTCTTCGTTTTGTGTTGCATAGCCACAGGGGGCACACAAAAAGAAAACCAATGATTGAAAAATAAATAAATAAATAAATAAATAATAATAATAATAATAATAATAACAACAACAAAAACCAGTACGAGAACGGAAAAAAACGAAAGAAAAGGAGTCTTGGAGCTCCCGACCGCCTTGGATGCACTTGCCACACCCGCGAGATTTGGCGGGTAGTTCATGGGTCCTTGCGAGGACCCACGAAAATCGAGATGCTGAAGGTGGGCGGCAGCAACGTCCTCGCAAACTTCCATCTCCTCTTCTTTCTGACAAGCACCTGACACCTCACAAATTTTTTTTTTCACCGTTAAAACTCACACGACCGTGCGGCGGTGTAAAACCGAAAAGAACTTGTGAAATTGTTGGTTTCGTGTGCCGTGTGGCGAGGCCCAATCTATCGAAAATCGTGTTTTCAACGGTGGTGTGGCGACAGGCCCTTCGGGTCTCGCTGCACTACTCTCCACACTTCAAATTCGGAGAGTTTTTCATGGCTGCAGTAACTATCCTATTCCACCATTCGAAAACCCTCGGATAGCTGTCTCCTTTGCAAAGCAGGGCCTAGTTGCACTACTCTCCATGGGTGGGGAGTGAAAAAAGAGAGCGAATCCTGTAGAACTGGAGGCCTGGTTCCACTTACTCACCACTATATTTCTTCTACAAAAAGTTTAAAAAATTTGTCTGCGTGATCTCCACTTGTGAAGCCCTGCACTCTCCAGAAAGTTGTTTTGTGGAGAGGTCCTGGGACCACCACCCTCCACAAACCGCCTTGCCGTGCACAGGCGGGGAAACCGAAAACACTCCCCACAACTTGTGTCGACGGTGTGGCGAGCAGTCTGACATATTTTTCATTCACCAACTTTGGCGAGTAACTTAGTAAGTGCAACTCGGGGCCTACTCGCCAAACTTGGCCTATGGAGAGATGGAGAGTCTGCACAGCGGGGAACCGGAAACACTCGCCACAACTTGTGTCGCCCGTGTGGCGAGCAGTCTGACATATTTTTCATTCGCCAAGTTTGGCGAGTAACTTAGTAAGTGCAACCAGGGGCCTACTCGCCAAACTTGGCGTATGGAGAGATGGAGAGTCTCAAGAGTAGTTCAAGCAGGCCCGCACTCTCCGCTGATGGAGAGCGCCCGGCCTACAACGCTTGTTTTTCGGATGGACCTCCGCTCCGCCGGACTCTCCAAAATGTTCCCAATTTGGCCAACTCTCCCATTTTTCGGAGAGTGGAGGGGATTGCAGCGAGACCCTTTGTTTCGAGTAAGCACTGGGGGCCAAGCCCCACTTAGGCTGATTCTTCACTTCGGACCGTTGATCTTGCGAATCTACGGTCAGAAGTTGAGATTTCGGGTAAGTGGGACTTGGCCCCGGTACCTGCCGTCCGAACTGTGGCCAGGTTGAAAATACTCCGCCAAGTCGTCTGTTTGGCATCGTATGACTCCTGCTCGTATCCTTTGTTTTTTTGTTTTGTATTTTGTTTTTCTTTTTGGTGTCATATCATCTCAACAAATCTCCTCCTGCCACGATATCCCCGCCAGACTTTAGTGGGAAACATAATTTTTTTTTCCCCCCTCCTCCCCCCCCCCACAAAAGACTGGCGAATCAACATTAAAGCGATAGCTCGATCTTTTGTGGCCTGTGGTAGTGTCTGTTAGGTTTATTTGTTCCCGTTTGTTTCACAAATAGCAAGACTCTAGATCGGAGCATGGGACACTGGACCCGGTTTCCAGTTAGCCTCTCTGAGGCTTGGTTCTCCTTTCCGCGTTGAGATGTGGAGGGATTCCCGGCCTCCTTTTGCCTGTATAATGAAACTATGCTATTTCTCCAAAAAAAAAAAAAAAAAAAAAAAAAAAAAAAAAAAGACTGGCGGGGTTACGTCCACGACTCGGATTAGGGCATACTCACATAAAGGACTGTCTTACTTATTCGGGATGGAATTACAGCCAGATACATCCAGCACCGGCCGTAAATGGGGTCAGAAACATTTAAGATATTGGTAGTGTGAGCACGCCCTAACTTTTCAGTTCACTGGGACACGCTGTCCGTGAGTGTGTGTGCGGCGGCGATGCGCGAAACGTCGTGGTTTAGGGCCTCGCTCCAATACTCTCCACATCCGCAAAAGACAAAAGAAACGACATTGACAATGTATCTTTCCATGTTCTAGGAGAGGATTCGGTCACTTTTTTTTTTTTTCCCAGTCTCATTTGGGGCATTTCGAGAGTGGTTGTACCCCTTCCCATTTGAGCCCCCTAAAAAATCACAGCTTTATGCGAATTGAAAGTACACCGAAAAATGATAAAGGGCAATAAGTGTACCCCTTCCCATGTCCCCGCCCGCGTTAGGGGTCGACTTGGGGGGGGGGGGGGGGGTTTCGCCCTCCCGGCTTTTTTTTTTTTTTTTTCCCCCCAAACAGGCCCAGTGCCCAAGGCTTTACATCTAGTTCATTCTAGTTCATTCACCCCCGGGACCCCCCGTTTCACCGGCAGCAATCCAGCAGGGGTCACCCAGCCGCGCAGCCCGTTAGGGCAGTAGCATGAGGGCGTGAATTCGCGTGGGAGTTCATCGCCCCAACGTTGCAGAGTGAGGGAGAGGCTCCAGCAGACGAAGGGCTTCGCCGCACCAATGTAGAAACGAAAAATGCACGAGTGCATCTTCCCTAGAAAGCAGCAAGATGCATCCGTTGCTATTCATAGTAACGGATGCATCCGGTCACACCATGCGGAGAAACGCAGTCGTACTTCTCCCGTTTCGACAGCGGCATGGCGAAGCCCTAAAGCCTATAGACTTTTAGATGATACAGTGCGAATTCCCTTTTTTTTTTTTTTTTTTTTTTTT